CCTTCACAGGCCCTCAAATATTTCTCAGCCTCCTAAAAACAAGAACTACAGAATGTGAAAGAAGCCATGTAGATATCAAGGGTAAGATGATTCCAAGCAGAGGAAGTGGAGAGTGCAAAGGCCCTGGGGTGTGATGTCTGGCATGTTCAAGAAGCATGGGGGACACAGGCTGGTGTGTGTAAGAAGGAAGAGTAGAAATGAGGTTCAGGAGTTCAGACGCGGGTACGCTCTGGGGAGATGGCTCAGTCTCACTGAGTTCAGATCCGAGCACTCATAAAAAGCCATGTCCCTGTAATTCACGCTCGGGGGAGGCAAAGACAGGAGGAACCCTGGGCTCCCTGGCCAGGAAGCCAAGCTGAGTAGGTGAGCTCCAGGTTTAGAAGGTGGCAAGCAACTGAAGAGGACGCTTGATGTTGACTTCTGGCTTTCACATGCATGTATGTGTGTGAGCTTCAGTACACACACACACACACACACACACACACACACACACACACACCAAAACCACAAGATAGGGGCTGAAGAGATGGCTCAGTGGTTAAGAGCACTGACTGCTCTTTCAGAGGACCTGGATTCAATTCCCAGCACCTACATGACAGCTCACAACATGACAGCTCAGTAACTCCAATATCTGACCCCCTCACACAGACATACATGCAGGCAGAACACCAATGCACATTATTAAAAAAAAAAACCCACAGGAGATCACCTCAGCCACAAGAAGCTACTAGAATAAAAGTATAGAAAGGAACATTTATTAGTGACAGGGGGAACTTGGTGTCCTTATGGATAGGGTGTGTTTCTACCTTGCTGTGGTCTATATCTTCCTCACCCCAAAGTTCATGAATTGGAGGTTAGTCTCAGGGCAGCAATACCAGGAGGTGGTGAGACTTTTAAAAGGTGGGTGCTTGCAGAAGTTCTGCTAGTCATTAGGCTTGTGCTTCGGGAAGACGCTGCGGCACTTGGCCTCTTTGGTCTCTGGTTTTAACTTGCAGTCTCTTCTTGGTACACAAGTATAATCCCTTGATTATGTCAGCTGTGAGGGTCTCACCAGAGCCAGACTGATGATGTCAGTGCTATGTCCTTGAACCTCCAATACCATATACTAAATAAATACCATATTTATAGTTAGCCTTGTCCTAGTGCTGAAGGGGGGATGCCGACATGAGCTTCTATCTCTAAGCAAGAACCAGCTCCAATTGTTACCCACTTGCAAAGGAAAAATCAGTTTTCTCCAGTGGAGTCTCCCTGGGTATATGAACCACACGTAAGGGCAGGCCCCATGCCCAGCAGCAGATGGCCAACACAAAAGGAACTCAATCCTATTTTTGTAGACTTTTTGTCTCATATTGATTTGTTTGGGTGTTTTTTGTCTTACTGGTCTTTTGTTTGTGTATTAAGATTTCTGATTTTGTGTTTTTATGGGTTTTGTTGTACTTCTCTGTGTTTTTTGTGCTTATTGTTGCTTTTCTTTTTTTTTAAATTATGGTTTGTTTGCCTGTTTATTTGTTTTCTAAAGAACAGGAGAAAGAAGGGATAGAATTGGTAATGGGGATGATCTGGGAGGAGTTGGGGGAGGGGAACCATGATTAGAATATATTGAGTATTCAGAAAAATCATTTTTGATAAAAAAGAATAATAAAAATATATAGTTAGCATGCCTTAGGTGATTCATTACATCAACACATTAGTGTTTATTACTATTATGTAATAATAGTATCATATAATTATGATGATGACAATTATTATTTATTACTGTTGATAAAAGGGACCAAATCCAGAGCCTAATCTGTGATAAGCATACCCTGTACCACTGAGCTATATACCCAGCCTTGGAGTAGATGTTCTTACATCTATTATGTTCCATGGTCATAGCAGCATTATTTGTAATAGCCAAAAGGTGGAAGCAATCTAAAATTCCATTAATAGACGAATGAATGAACATATTTCAGATCCAAAAGACTTCTCTTTAGCCCTGTAAATAAGGAACTTCAGTGCAAAGTTTCAACAGAGATGAACCTTGAAGGCATGACTCTAAGTAAAATAAGCTAGGCACAAAAGATAAACATTGTCTCACTCCACTTGCAGGAGCTTTCTTAAATGGTTCAAATTCAAAACCAGAAAGCTATGCTGCTGAAAGGAAGAGGACATGGGAAGTCATCATTTAATGGATAGAGACTTTCACTTTTGTAAGTGGAAAGTTCTAGAGTTTGATTGTGTAACACTTAAACACTGTGCTTAAATACTGCAGAACTGCATACTTAAAAAAGGTAAATCTGACATGTGTGTTTAATCACAATTAACATAAAAAAATTAAAAACCAGTAGACACCTGTCTTGGTTAGGGTTTCTAGTGTCTATTTAAAGAGACATTATGACTGTGGCAACTCATAAATGAAAACATTTAATTTGGGCTGGCTTACAGGTACAGAGATTTAATTTATTATTGTCATGGCAAGAAGCATGGCAGCATGCAGGCAGACATGGTGCTGGAAAGGAGCTGAAAAGTCTACATCGGGATAGGCAGACAGCAGGAAGGGACAGCAGCACTGGGCCTGCCTTGGGCTTCTCAAACGCCAAAGCCCACCCCCAGTGACGCACTTCCTCCAACAAGGCCACGCCTCCTAATAGTGCCGCTCCCTATGAACCTATGGGGGCCGTTTTCATTCAAACCATCACAACACCTAATTTTCAGAAATGCCTTCTGTTCAGTTAAGGTCACCAGTAGCAGGATTCACCAGGGCAATTGTCATCTCCTTTAGAGTTAACACATTGGAATGTAGTGTTTTCCATGTTCCCTCTTGGTTCATTTTTCTCCTAGCTTTTACCACCTTCCAATATATTTTATTCATTTTTGTGTTTCTTTCATCAGACTAGTTCATTTAGGAAGAAACTTTCTATTATATTCATTGAGAAGCAAGTTCTTTGTGTTAGTTTTCAGTGATAAACAACTTCTAAGGAGGAGGATATGTTTACTTAAGTTCACCGGTTCACAGGTTTTAGGCCATGGTCAGTTGGCCACATAGTTTCTAGGCCTGTGGTTAAGCAGTGTAACATGTCAGGGGGTGTGTAGAACAAGGCACAGGAAAGGTGTTTTCCTCATGGTGACAACAAACACAGAGAAAGAGAGAGGGCCCTGGTCCAGTATGTCTTACAATAGCCCTCCAGTGACCTTACTTACCTCCATTGGGCCCTCAGTAGAATCCACCATCTCTTAGTAGCATCACTGACTGGCAACCAAGACTTGAAACCATGGAGGACATTTCAGATACAAACAATAACACCCTTCAAGTAGGACAAAGACAAACACAGACCTTTTACTACATTCAAAGCTTTATGGCTACCAAACTACCTCAGCCAGTACTTGAGTGGCTAATGGACTTATATCCACTGTTAAAAAGAAAGTACTATGTGCAAAGCTTTATGATTACATATATATATATACCTTTAATTTGGACAGTGGTACTTAGTCTACTTGATAAAGAGATACTTTGGGAATGTTAAGAGTTTTCTGTGAAATCTTCACTCAAATTATCAAGTCTAAGATTTCGTGTTATATAAAGGCTATGAAACCTGAAATGTGATTGTATTTGCTCTGTAAATATTGGGAAAGCTGTGGGTCTGCCATTTGTGTGTGTGTGTGTGTGTGTGTGTGTGTGTGTGTGTGTGTGTAGCTTCAGAATACACATGCATATTTGGCAAATGGAGTTGGTTTCCCCTATGATACTATGAATTAAAAAAAAAGATATTTTAACAAATCATAGAAATCTTTAATAGAAAATCTTTAGTTTTGTAGTCAATTTTCTCAAATAATAGAAATAAACTTTAGAGTAAGGAGTACGTGGTCAAATGAGTGAATAGTGTATTTTCCAGCACTGAAGAGCAGGAAGGAAGGGACAGTTCCTACAGTACCTGGACAATTTGACTAAATGAATTTCTACCTAAGCTTTTAAGAAATAATAACTAAAAGATGTTCATTTATCTCCTACAATGGCTTTTCGAATACAACAGGAAAAGAGTCCAGGCAGAGGGAATTATGCAACAAGTTTTGGTATTATACTGAAAATTATCAACATTTATTTTTTCATCCTCTTACATTAATCATATATCTGTTAGTTCCAGGAAAAGTGGACACCCCACCCTCCACCCCTACGCATTACGTTTATGCATAATCAGCCCCAAAAGGTAGAGATAATAGCACAATTTAATTACACATAAAGGACCTACCTACACATTGGCATTTGTAAGCAATTTTTGTATAGGCACCATAGATCAACAGGATTATGCACTTTAAAATGTGAGGCAACAAGGCATTTAAAAATAACCAAGGTTTACGGCTACTGCCCCGCTATCACTGACTGCATAAACACTGCAATTTAGTTGAAAATATATGGAACAGGCGGGATATTTTTGCAACGGTTGAATAAGATATTATGATGCCAGAAATACAGCTGTCCCCAGGCAGTTAAGCTCTTCACTGAGTTTCTTTCCTATTGCTTTTGAGCAGTGGATTGTTTGGGACTGTAGGTCACTTGTTGGGGTAAAGGACCTCCCCGAAAAATTCATGCACACTTTGCTAACGTGGGAGAAAAATAGTGGTAGTTTGGAACTCTTACTTGGAAGATGGGGCAGAAAAACCTGCTAATTTTTTTTAAAAGAAAGGTCTTGCCTGGCTCTTCCTGATTTGGTGCACAAGCCGCACGGATATTAAAAGGTATACAACTTGACAAACTGGAACTGCCCTCCTGTCTTTCAACGTCTTTTCTGAAACCACACTATGCAGGATTACGCCTTAAATTGTTTTACTGGCAGTCTCCAGGCATAGATCGGTGTCTTTCTCGGTTTTCTAGATGCCTTCACCTCTGCCTGGAGATGGGGCAGTCAGCTAGTCCTAACACGCGGTCTCTGCTCCGCCCCAACCTGCCCTCTTCCAACATGGCGCCCCAGGAGGCGGGTCCCACTCGTCGGCTCCCCGGGTTCCGGCGCCGTGAGTTTTGGTTCCGGAGTAACAGCGTTCTAGCCGTCTCCTTCCTCCTCGCACCACCACCTCCGCCGCCGGGACGCGGGCCTTCGTCGGCCGAACCCGCGCGCCCCGCACCCTCCTGTTCCGGCTGCGGCCCGGGGCCCGCCCCCTGACCTCGCGGTCCTGGGCTCTCCGCTCTGGTGGAGGGCAGGCGGCACCGGTGCTCCTCCGTAACAGCCCCGACCCAGCGCGCGGCGTCCAGACACCCTCCCCTTGCCCACCCAGCCACCTAGAAAGGCAGGACACTGGCTGATGCACTTCCCCTAAACCAGGCCGTTGCTCTGCTGTCTCCTCTTACTCACACGGACTTCAGAATGCTTGTCGGTTCTGTTTTGTCCACTTTTGTAACTCCAGGACCTTCCGCTCTCTGCTAATACCTTTTGGCCCTTCCCTCTTCCCAGTGCATCCTCCCCCAGAGACACTCAAACTCCACACGACCTGGGTCTGGTTCGCGGCCTGCCAGCTCCCTCCTGATCGCCCCTCTTCACCTCTTCCACCTTTCTGCTCCCTGTTTTTTTTTTTTTTTTTAATCACCTGTCTCTGTCCCTTCGTTCCCCTTGTCACTTCTTGGGGCTCCTCATAAACAGGGACCAGTCGGTATCCCTTGGCCCAGGATGTGAGACCCTTTAACCTGTAATGCTGTGGCTGGCCCTTGGCGCCTCCCCTGCCATGGAGAACCAAGTGCTGGTGATTCGGATCAAGATTCCAAATAGTGGCGCGGTGGACTGGACTGTGCACTCCGGGCCGCAGTTACTCTTCAGGGATGTGCTGGTGAGTGGTAATCTTAGCGGCCAAATCCCAGCTTGGGGCTCAGGGACCTGGATCTTGACCACTGGTGGCCTGAGCTGGCCCCTGGTGGGGTCATCTTACTTGTTTCAACCACGGTGTCGATTAATTGCATTCACTGAAAACTGGTAAATGTGCAGGGTACCGGGGAAATAGATGGATCCGATTGAACCCCTGCTCCCAGGAAGCTCACAGCCTGGACTGGGACTTACACCAGTGCAAGCAACTGGGATATACAAAGCTGAGTTTTAAAAACCAATTTCTTGTTTTTGTTTTTTCCTTCCTCACGTGTTTGGGAAGCATCCCTGCCCTCATTCTAGCCTTGCCACTGCAGAGTTCCTGAACTTGTGACCTGTTGGGAAAGGCAAACCAGGGCAACCTTAATTTACAATGTTTAAGCAAACCTTAGATGTCGTTGATTGAAAGATATAAACTTATAAACTTAAATATCAATAAGAAAAAATGCTGCCTGTTAAAACTGCAGCACACCATCCCATGGGGGGAAAAACCAGCTTGATTTCAGAGATGTTGAGTGTTGAGGGAAAATGTGCATCTTAGAATCAACAGGACATGCCTTGGGATACTAGCAATATATTTCACACAAAGCTGTGAAGGTTAATGGAGGTGGGCCCTTGAGCCCATATAGAGTATATATTATATAGAGTATATGTATGTATATATGTACTGAGTAAAGAGTAAAAGGACCTTCCCAGGAATTTTTGCACCTCAGGTTGAGAGTAAGTGCCCAAACCCCGGCTTCCTTATTTATTATGTGTTTGTGTGTGTGTGCATGCGTGTGGAGATCAGTGATTAAGCTCAGGTATCATTCCTCAGTTGCCATCCACCTTGTATTTTGAGACAGGGATGGCTGGCCAGAAGCCCCAGGGATCCACCTGTTTGAGCATCCCCAGTGCTGAGATTACGAGCATGCATCCCACCATGCTTAGGACACCTCTCAAGCCCCTACCACCTGGCTTTTTTACATGAGTTCTGGGGATCAGACTCAGGTCCCCATGTTTGCATGGTAAACACTTGGCCCGCTGAGCCATCTCCTTGGCCCCCAAACTTACTTACTTTTGCATAGTATAGTTTCCCCACATACTGCAGCCCATGTGCATCCTTCTAGTCATTTGATATTAACAGGGTGCATTATATTCACTTTATGCATAGAGCAATTCAGAGACAGAATTGGATGTACCAGGAAGAATGTTCTAATAGGCAGATGTGCAGTCTGACTGGGTTGCATATACATATATATGTTTACACACACACACACACACACACACACACACACACACACACACATATATGTAATCTATAATTTCATTTTGAAAACTAGATGCCAGTGACCACCCAGGCCATGCAAGCTTTCAGGTACCCAGGACAAGAGTGTGGCACCTGTAGTGAGCTGGCAGCCTCCAGTCTTTGACACCAAATGCCAGCCCTTCTCTGCATCTGGTGCTCTCCACACATCTGCCCTTTGATGATTTCCTTTCCTCATAAGCCCACACAGTCTTCATCACTGTCTTCAGCGCCATCTTGATTGGCCTGGCACCTCTGTCCTTTCTTGATGCACCCTCACGAGCGTCTTGTGTCCCAAGTCCACAGAGTTACAGTCAGTCCTCCCGGGTACCCAGGCTGGGCCTCCACGTGGCCAGCTCTCACCTGTCCTTCCTACCAGGCCTCACTTGCCGCCTGTCAATGTTGGCCAGGTGGCCACGTTGGTATTTCTATGTCCATTCCTGTGGCAAAGCTTACATTCAGTCATGATTGCTTGCCTGTCCATTCTTCTAGAAAGTCAACTTCTGGAGGAGAAAGAGAACTCTATTTTTGTTGCTTCATAGGACCCGGAAATCTGCTGATAGCAAGCTCAAAACAGGAGGAGGGGCTAGTGAGACGGCTCCGGGGTAAAAGTACATACTGAACAAGTCTGTGTTCAGTCCATGGAACCCATGGCAGAGCCAACTCCTGAAAGTGGTCTTCTGATTTCCACACATGTGGTCATGGCATGTGTGCATCCATGTTTACTGTTTACACACATGTTTATATAATAAATGAAAAATTTAAAAAAGAACAAACATCTTAAAAAAAAATAAATAAGAGCACCAACCCAGATGTGTGCAGTTATGAGCTGTGCAGATCACTGGCCCCTTTTTTTTTGAGACAGGGTGTCTGTCATGTTGCTCAGCCTGATCTCAGATTGCCTAGTTTATGAAGGATAACCTCAAACTCCTCATCCCCCTGCCTCCACTTCTTGAATGCTGGGTGAGTGGTAGGTTCTGAGTCAGGCTGTTGGACTTTACTGCCATTTGTGCCACCAGCTGGGCAAGTCACTCTCTGAGCCTCAGTTTCCCATTTCTAAACACGGACACCTGCATCGAGACTTGTGAAGATGAAGCGCATAGACAGTGCTCTGTAAATGGTGACACTGTGACGTCCAGGGCTGGGACCTGGTCCTGTGCTGCCTGAATATCCCCAGGAGATCTCCGGCTCAGGCTTATGGCCTACAGGAGACATCACACTGGTGTGCCGCCACTAGGCCTCAGAGCTGTGCGTTGGGACATTTTGCTCCTAAGAGCAGCTGGAGCACTTTTGTCAGTAAGAGCCAACAAGGAACTTAGATCTGGTTCTCGCGCACGCCTTTAATCCCAGCACTTGGGAGGCAGAGCCAGGTGGATCTCTGTGAGTTTGAGGCCAGCCTGGTCTACAGAGCGAGACCCAGGACAGGCACCAAAAGCTGAAAAAGAAACAAAATAAAAAAAAAAAAAAAAAAAAAAAAAAAAAGACCTGGTTCTGGGCTGTGTCCTGGAGCTGTCTCAGGGCAAGTCTGGCAGGGTGCCACCGCAGGTCCTTGTTGTCTGCTCTCCCTCTGCACCTCATCTCTTCCATCAAGAAAAGACAAACCCCCAAAGAAGTCAGCATCTCTGTGTGGTGATACTCCAATAAAATTTGCCTGAGGATCAGAGGACAGAGCCAGCCACTAGATTAAACCTAGAGGCCAGGCAGTGGTGGCACACACCTTTAATCCTAGCACTCAGGAGGCAGAGATCCGTCTGGATCTCTATGAGTTCAAGGCCACCCTGGACTACAGGAGATTAATCCAGTCTAAAAGAGAAACACAGCCAGGCAGTGATGGCACACACCTTTAATCCCAGCACTAGGAAGGTTGAAACAGGAAGAGATATGGCTGGGCAGAGAAAGGAACATAAGGTGGGAGGAGACAGGAACTCAGTCCTCTTTTCGGCTGAGGATTCTGGGACATTCAGTCAGGATTTGTGGAGTTGGCGGGGTGAGACGTGGCTGGGTCTTATTCCTTTGCTTCTCTGATCTTTCAGCTTTTACCCTGATGTCTGGCTCTGGCTTTTATTATAAGACCAGTTAGGATTTGTGCAACATCTCTGGCTTGGAACCTTAAACTTTAAGGCTGTGTGAACCTTGGATGGCCCCTTTGTCTAACCTGAGCCCTTTCTCATACTTCCCAGTGTTCGGATGAGGAAGCTATACCCTGGAAGGAGAAGGGCCTTGCAGAGCCTTAGAGCTAGTTTTTTGGCAAAACCAAACACAGAAGCCAGAGCAGGTTTTAGTCACCAAGTCAGAGTGACTGAGTATCTGAGGCCTTAGTCAGTAGCTGGAAGATTCCAGTTGCTGCTTCTCCAAATGGCTGGAGACCGTGTGCAGGTTACTCCCCTTGTCCCCTCCAGGCTTGCCTGTTGTCTGTATCTCCAGGAGCCAGAAGCAGTGTGAAGGAAGCCAAAACCAAGGGCAGAGACACTGGGCTCTGTTCTTCAGTCTCCTTTCTCCTCATCCTTGGAGGCAGTCTCCAGTTCTAGGAATTGTGTGTAGGGCTGGGTTGATTAGTGTGAGGGAGGGGATAGTCAGCCTTGGCTTTCTCTTTCTATCCTGTCTTGAAGTCCCACTTCCGGTTGTTCCCCATGTGTGATGTTTCTGTCCAAACTGAACCGGCGACTCTTCCTCCCTCTTGAGTGTCAGGTATTTTCCTTGTGACAAGATTCCTAACAGAAGCCACTTAGGGAAGAAAGGTTTTAGTTTTGCTCACAGTCTGAGGGTTTGGCAGGGAAGGCCGAGCAGGGGGAACAGGAGGCTGCTGGTCACATTGCATCCTCAGTCATGAGGCCTAGGACAAGGAGCGCTGCTCAGCCCATGTCTGTGGAGTGGTGCCATCCGTGTTTAAGGTGTGCCTTCCCACCACAGTTAACACAGTGTGGAAACTCACTCACAGACGTGCCCAGAGGTTTGTCTCTTAAGTGAGTCAGGTCCTGTCTGGTTGACAGGCAATATTAACGGTCACAGCGAACAAACACTGTTTGCTACTAACATCTTTCATTTGGCTCTTTTTGTTTCGAGAAGTGCTTGCTGTTGCCCATCTTACTTCAGAGAACAAATTATAGTCTTGCTGAAGTCAGGTAAGCCATGCTTACCTACAAAGCTCCTAGCATGCTGTAGAGACGTCTTCTGTTAGATAGTTGTCTGACTATTGAAGGAAGGAAAATCAAGAGAAATGATCACTGTCAAGATGTGTCAATTTAAAATTTCTTTTGAAGACGTCTTTTGAGACAGCAGAAATTCTCTTGGAAACAAGTACAAAATAAGCTCTTAAAGTAAACTGGAAATGAATGTAAAGCCATCAAATGTGCCCTGCTTAAAAATGGCCAATAGCAGGGCTGGGGAGTCGGTCTGGCTGTGTCCCCTGGCTGTGTGCAGACTTCTGTCCTTCCCTCTGGACTGCCTGGGTACTTAATTCTGTGGTCAGTGTATATCTGGCTCCCAGTTCAGAGATGCTTGCTACCTATGAATGTGGAGAAAGCGTTTCCTAACCCTAAAATTGGGTTCCTTACTTCCTCACAGAGTTGATGGTTCGTTTGCCATTATTCGAGCCAGGGAAAACATCACCTCTTTTTGACTGATGAATGGGGGTTATTCTACCCAGGAAGGTTGTTCTACCCGATCAGGTTTTCTGTGCACAGATTTATTTTTTGAAAAAAAAAGAAAGAAAGGAAGGAAGGAAGGAAGAAAGGGAAAAAGGAAGGAAGAGGAAAAAGAAGCGCCAAGATGATTATGCAAATTGGCACTGCAGCGAACGCTCCTGAAGAATTGCCTTTCGAAGGAAGTTGCAGCCTCCACTCTGCTAAGTGCCCTGCTTTGGAAGGGCCGTGGGCTCCCTGCTTAGAAACACTGCCAGCCGCTGCCTTTGTCAGCTGGCTGCCTGGTGCTAGTTCTGGCACAGCCTTGGCATGAGAGGGCCGTCACAGCAGAGCTTCTGGAGAGAAATGAGGTCTACAAGGCTTTTGCAGTGGGAATGGACATGATGGAGGGTCTCTCCTCCCAGAACTTAGGTGTTCTGTGCCTCTTCCATTTAGCTGCCCCTGCAGACTAATTTTTTTTTTTTTTTAGTATTTTCAACTTTAGAGACTCATTTACATATTAATAACAGTTATATACACCTTCCAGGGCTCCTTCCCCCCTAAATTAACTTGTATCCCAGAAACACTGAGTATGTTTCCATTGCTTAGGAGTAAAGGTTGATGAAAATTCTTATTGCACTTGGCTGCATAGCGTCCCAGAACTTGTTTGCTTGCGAGGAGAGCAAGGCTCTGTGTGGTCTGTAGAGCTCAGGAAGCACATTGATTGAGTGTCTACAAGGTACCATGTGTCAAGCTCATGTTTAGTACAGTATTTAGTTTTCACATTACCCTTTTGGTGTCATTGGATTCATTTTGAAAATAATCAGAATGAGGCTCAGAGTGGTTAAGTAAAAATGTTTCCCAGGTTGTACATTTAATAGTAAGGACCCAAACCTAAGGTGATCTAACTCTTAAGCCTCTTCCCCTGCCTCTGTGAGTGTGTGTGTGTGTGTGTGTGTGTGTGTGTGTGTGTGTGTGTGTGTAAGATAGCGTGATAATGTAGAGCTGTGCATTGTTGAATTGAGAATAAAAGATTGTCTTTAATACAATATGAAGGGTTTCTAACCCTTTTCTCCTTAGAATAGAGATTTAAACTTTCTGGGTAGGTGTGATTATAAGCTCATGTTTCTATAGTTTATGCTAGCATTTCAAAAATCCTTCCCAGGTTCCCCTGTTTTCTCCTGAACTTGCCACATGTTGGCAATAAAGAAGATGACTAATTGTGCTTCTTTCTTCTTTCTTTGTTTAGGATGTGATAGGCCAAGTTCTGCCTGAAGCAACAACGACAGCCTTTGAATGTGAGTCTGGCTCCTCATCCTTTCTTCTGCAGTGATATTTCACATGCTTTATGGGTTGCATTATTTTCAAAACTGACAGAAACAGATTATTTATGATCATCATATGGTACATTTAAATATTTATAAATTAATGCAAGTTTAATGATGATACTGAACCGAGTAATATTTTCTTATTTAATCATATCTTGGGTGTGCATATCTCTACAATATAGCTTTAATTACCAACATGACCTTTATCTGCTCTTCTCGTTGTTATAATAGTGCAGGGCAAAATGAAACGTGTAAACTACCTGTAGACCGATGATTGTTGATTAAGAGGTTTTAATTCTTTAGTGCTTTAGGACATAGTAGCAGAGTAAAGCTCTCACGAGCAGTGTGTGGAATGGTTCTGTTTCAGTGGGGTTTGGCCTCCCTGCTAGATGAAGACAGGGGCCACTTTGTCCTGAATCCTCCTGCTCTCCATTGAGCTGGATTTTATGGACAGGGCTGGGGTATACTAGATAACTGGTTCTGATACCGTCCAGGTCACTGCAGAGGAAGTCCTGACACTAGTTTAGAAGCAGTGTAGGGCCTCAGGTCCTGAGAAGGGTAAAGTTGGGGTTGGAACTGTGGCCTTGCCCTCCTTTGAAAATGGGGCCATGGGCTGAGGAGATTGCTCAGTGGATAAAACACTTGCTGTGCCATTGTGAGAACCTGAGTTCGAATCCCCAGAACCCGGGCAAAAGCTGAACGTAGTAGCGCACATTTGTAACCCCAGTGCTCCTATGGCAAGAGAGGAGACAGAGACAGCAGATCCAAATGCTGTGGGGCCGCTAGCCTGGCGTAGCCAGCACACAGCAAAAAAGAGACCTGGTCTTAAACAAGAAGGAAGGTGAAGATCAATAGTTAAGGCTGGGGTCTGACCTCCACACATGTGCTGTGGTATGTGCTTGTTCACTCTCACACATAGGAACATGCCCATATATACCCATGTGCACATATACACATGTACACACATGAAAATGCGGCCACTTTCCAACATGGAAATAATTGGGACTTTCCCCCCCCACATGACAGTGTGCTTTTGTTCCTGTTTTAGAGATGATCACTGGTAGAGTGTACAGTAAGTAAGGACAGTGTAGTGCCTGTCCTTGTTAGAAGACAATTCGGCCATACTTAGTAACAGGTGAGCTCTGTAGCGCTTTTGACTCAGCAGATCTCTCTTGGAAGCTATCCAACAGAAACAGTGAATGCCCTTGTTGAAACAAGGATTATTTTTTGATAGTAAAAAACAAAATGTAAGCAAAATACCTCTGTAAAGTGGACCAATAAATGATAACGTGTCTACGTGTTGATAGGGAAAGAGACTGGGATCGATTTTCGAATGGACAAATGATGTGTATGATACAATCCCATCTCCTCAGAATGCTAGCCCTCCTTACCCACCTCGTATGTCTGCTGGGGGACAGTATATACAGAGGCCCAATTCAGTGCTTTCTCCCCTGGAAAGTGGACGTGGGCCCTGGGGGATCAGAGATGAGTAAGTGCACTTTTCACTCTGTCTGTCCCTATTGCTGGAATAGTGTTCAGTCACCAGAACTTGCTTTTTAAAACTACAGCGAGTAGGACTATTAATTACTGTTTATTAATGGCACTAGGCCCTTCATGCTATTGAGGAATATATATGTGTGTACACACACACACACACACACACACACACACACACACACACACACACACACGAGAACTGTATTTAGACTTCTTTTAGTAGCTAAAGGGGGCCGGGGCCAGGAACAGCCCACGAGGGAGCGTTTGGTGTTCCTCCTGCCGCCGGATGAGTTAGCCCATTCCCTCAGCCTTCACGAGATTCCCACGAGGTTCGATGAAGGACTGTTGTTGCTGTCTCAGCCCAAGCAAGGGCGTCTCTAAGAACTGAACAACTTGCTCAGATATGTGTAAGTGCATTCTAGAGCCTGTTTCCTCAGCCACTGTGCTGGACTTCTAAGAGACACCACAGCTGAAGTGTATTCTCACTGGCAAACATGGCAAAGAGTTTATTTATTTATTTTTTTTGAAATGACACTCATTTTATTGTAGTTTATAGTGTAATACATTGAGAGAAGTACCAAGGAGTGATTATTTGAATACTTGTGGCACAGACAAACAGAAGAACATTATGTACTCCTTGAAGAATACAGCATATAGGTGTTTGTATTAGTTATTTGGCAATAAGGGAAGCCATGTTGGTAAGCAAAGAGGAAAAAAAAATCAGGTTAAATTATATAATGGCACAATTAAGATTAGTTAATTAACATTTTTTAAATTAATTAATTAATTTTATTATTTTTTTTAAATGCCGAATGCTATTTATTGAAGGAGGGAGGAGGAATAAAAGAGTTTATTTTTACTCTATTTTAATCTGTGTGTGTGTGTGTGTGTGTGTGTGTGTGTGTGTGTGTGTGTGTACTTATGTGCCCCTCCCCAACCCCTACTCAGGCACTTGTGCAAGTCAGAAGACAGCTTTCACGAGTCAGTTCTCTCCTTCCACGGTGGGTTCCAGGGATTAGACTCGGGTCGTCAGGCTTGCACATGTAAGCCTAACTTTGCGCTCTCCGCTCTTGGACCCGAACCTGCTCCACTGGCTTCCAGGTTTAGCATTCAGAAGAACAGTGCTAATTGTTCTAGCTCACTTACTGATGGCCTTCTCTGAGCCAGCCAGTGTACCAGATTCTTTCTGTAGGTGGTTGCTGCAGCTTAATAATCTTTGCAGCGACTCTGCAAAGAAGGAAAATTAGACCTGTGAGGAAACTGGAACTCACAGATGTGAAGTAATCGCTAGGAAGTCACAGAGCCCAGATTGAACACACATAGTCGTGTAAGCCCATGGAAATCTCTGAAGCATAAATAGAGAAAAATGTTCAGACTTTGAGGTTTCCAGTCTTTTGTTTTGTTTTTTTGAGACAGAATTTCTCTGTGTAATAATCCTGGCTGTTCTGGAACTCGCTCTGTAGACCAGGCTGGCCTTGAACTCCCAGAGATCCACTTGCCTCTGCCTCCCGAGTGCTGGGACTAAAGGCGTGCACCACCACCACCCGGCTTGTTTCTGTTCTCTGATGTCATGCTCTGCTGTATCCTCCAGCAAGGATAGCGATTCTGTATCTGTCCGTTTGCAGATCAGCTTGGCTCATCTGTAGATTATGTTAAGTTTCTCTCCCCTTTCCTCCTTTCCTCTTCTGTCCCTCCTCCTTTCTCCGCCCCCCTTCCTGGCAAGTGCTAGGACTGTGGGCATTTGCCCCAACAGCTAACTCTGGACCAGCTGTAAGGTGGAAAACAAGCAATCAAAAAAACAATATAAACACACAGAGAAAAACAATGACAGCCTTTGGTTGTTTTTGGCTGGATTATCTTAACCCTAGGCTGGCTTTTCTCATGACTGTTTTTGAGTAGCTTGATTGACCCAAAATTCTGAACCACTAAGTAGAGCCAATATGTAAGAAATAGTTAAGGTTTGGTTTGTAGGCGAATTTGCTGGGAAGTCTGAGGCATTTTGGTGGTTTGTGGATGAGTAACCCTCAAATAAATAAAACTTTGTGAAAGGACCATTTAACACTGCAGCGTGTACCCAACCCTAACTGACTCCTCACTTTGGAGAGATGGTGTGATAATTACGGAGCAGCAAGAGACAGCGCAGAGCTCCAAGCTACCAGTTTTCATAAAGGTAGGGAAGGAGTTGAGAGACTGGGGAACGGTAATGTTGCTATTGCCTGGTGCCAGCTCTTATGGGCTGTCTCTCCACACTGTTCTCAGAGTGGACGGACCAGCTGCCTCGAGTTGCCTTCCCCTCCCTCGCAGCATCAGTCACTTCCTTTATTCTTCTTTGCATCAACTCTGGAGCTTTGGGACCATGCTTGTCGAGCAGAATCAGTGTCCTATGTGTCTATATTCAAACAACATTGTGAAACGCACATGAACTATAGCTAAGTGGACGCTGTCCTGTGTTTTGGGGTTTTATCTGTGCTGTTGCCTGGACCTTAGATGTGTTTTGATATGGTGGACAAGTTGGGCTCCAATTCAAATTCTCAGTTGTATTGTCCTGAGGGGGCAAAGGTTCTACAGTGGCTGTGTTTTGTCTGGTTTTGCTCCCTAACCTGCATGGGACAGGAGGGAGGCCCCTGTGGGCCACATTCACCACTGGGGCTGGTGGTCCTAAGCCTCTTTTTTCTTGTTACCCCTGTAGCTCCTTCTCCCACATAACTAGAGCACAAATGAGCATGATTGAGTTAATTTACTTTTTTCACATGTATTTAGTGTGTGTGTGCACTCGCTTGCACATGCACACACACACACACACACACACACACACACACATATATATATATATGTATGTATGTATATATGCCATGTCACACATGTGGAGGTAGAAATAGCTTGCAGGGCTCAGTGCTCTCCTTCCATCATGGGAGTCAGGGGTCAAAGTCAGCGCTCAGGCTCAGTGACAAGTGCCTTAGCCCACAGAGCCAACTTGCTAACCTAAAAGTACAAAATGCCTAGTGGGTAGTTTGTTCTGTTTTTATATAATGGTATATTGTTACAAAGTTGAAGTAGCTTAGAAACAAAACAAAAAGTCCTTACTTTCTCATTGATTGTTAGTACTTTCTGGATACATCTCCCTGCCCTCACCTGCTGGCATGCAGTAGACCTCTTGCCAGCATCAGTGTGCACACGTCAACCTCAGCCTTGGCTGGGACTTAAATTATTGAATCTACTAGATGGACATCCAGGTTTTCACCAGCTTTGTAGAACCAGAGAAAATGCGGAAGTCAACAGTAGTGGCTTAGAGCTTTCCACACCGAGGAAGCTGGTGTGCAGGATGGATTCCTAGGCATTGGGAATCACTGTGATAAAGAAAACCCTCTGCTCTGGACTTCCGTCCGTGACCATGTTTGCTTTCCAAAAAGGGACTCATTTACAACCTACCAGTATATCAGAAAGCGCTTCCTCCATCCTCGTCAACGGCCTCG